GGGCTGGCTGGTTCGTGATCCATTCATTTGCTAGCGTCACCAAATCAGCCCCAGACTCAAAAGAGCCATTTGCATAAAAACCATATGATTTTCGTTTTAGACATCGATGAGTGCACGACCAGTAATCCATGTGCTCAATGTCCACCCCCTGTACAATGCATAAACACTGAAGGAAGCTACAGGTGCGTTTGTCCCGACGGTAGCAAGCCGAAGGCGTGTGTTTGTGAAAGTAAGTTTGCAACAGCGTAGGATACGAATGAATCGATTGGTAACGACGCAAACGATTTCTTTTCAAGACCTGTGCAACAAAGTCAAATGCAAGTGGATGCAGAAGTGTGTGATGATGAACGCAGTGCCTGAATGTCAGTGCAAATGCTTCAACTACACCAGCTTGCCCAGGGACCCGCTGTGCATGTTGTTCGGTAATTTCCCGAACACCTTCCAGAACAAAGAGCATTTCTACCAGGCGATGTGCATGAACAAAATGCTATGCGCTCTGCCAGCAAAACAGCCCGATATCGAAAGCAGTGCTAATTTCAACTACCATGGAAAATGCATAGGTAGGTCACGTCGATGCTGTCTAGGGTGGGGTTCCACGAAGTGTGACTTTCTTTCATCGTATGTCTTATTCAAGACGCATGGAAGCATTTTTACTATGAAACAGAAGAAACCATTTCATCTGAATTTGTAAACTTGAGTTTCATACACATCAAGGCTGCTCTATTTTCCTCAAACGCATTTGCGAGGTTAAGCGAAATCCGTCGATAAAACTAAAATTGATTCTACTTGGACTGCGTCATGAGCGACTATATAACACTAAAGCAGCGCAGACACGTTTCGCTAAATGCTGGGGGGTACAATAAAGCGATGGTATGCGAAGCAGTGAAAATCTGCCCTGAGTCCTATTCAACAAGTAGTCATCGGTATCAGCGAATATAAATCTATACAGATTGATCAGCAACAATTTAAAATTAGATACGCGTGGCAGCGTAACAACAAACCCGTCTACCCACATCCTGGAAAATCAGCCCCAATTGTGAAAAAGCAGTGTTATATCTTGAGTGTGAGAACAGTTTACTGATAAACGCGAAGAAAACAGCCTGGCGAAGCATGGCTCTATCTAAAAACATACGGATATACGACTGTAAAAAAAATTTTGCCCTTTTTCAGCCAACGGCAGTTATGTGTTCCTTCCCCTCGATTTAGACCAGCATTAATTCGCAGCCCTAAAATCAGAACCAATTGCTTCATTGTAGCCTTGTCATTGTTTGCTGGCTAAGGAAAAAATGAACGAAATTTTTATTATATAATTATATCATCTGCAGAGAAATAATTATGCACAGTCAGCTGTCAGGTACGTCAAAGTTAAGTGCAGGTACAAAGAACGCTGTCAGTGGACAACATGGCTGTTCACCCCGTTAGTTGCTGTATGACGAGACCAGAATAATATGCTGTCCTTATTATTGATAAGTCACCGACTTATTACCTGTTACCCTCCGCTGGTTACTCCGAAACAACGAGGGGATATTACCTTGTAGTACTTTGCTCAAGGAAATTCTCGGTTAAGATTCTTAGTTGAGTGGATTCGATTCCGGCATTTCCAGAGTTCAATGCCAACTTCTGATGAACTGTGTCCTCGCCTGAATAGTGTGACGTCACAGCCTCGAGTCACCTGCCCTCCCATGACTAGGTGTCCACGACGCAGCTATGCATGCAAGGCCTGCTCCCCTTTGACAACATCGACTATTTCTTCACCGATTTTTTTGCCCTTAAACATTAAATCGTTTTGCCATGAAGTTTATTTTAGGTGACGTCAATAAAGTACGTTGTCTGCACGGAGTTAAACCAATCATGCACAAAGGCTTTCCGATCTGTCGTTACTCAAAACGGTAATTATCCTGTTTGACACAACGGTTTGGTATTGCTCAAACGTGCGTTTAGAACATTCACCTACGCCTTTGCCGAATGCACGAAAAGAGCGACTGCCTCTAAGTACTAAATACATTTGTGATGGAAATAGAACTGTAAACATTTGCTGAGATTAAAATTTTTAACTATGCAGTTTATTCACTTCGAAAATAATATTATCGTCAGTTTACTGCTAACCCCTGACGTGTATGAAGGCCTCTAATAGACGTTGCTCCACAAGACCGTGTCTTCTGTGATTCTTTTTGACGATATGCAAAAACCTTTTTAGAATTCATCCTGTCATCGATGAGGATTTCTTCGAATATACCGTTTTTTCTCTACCCTGTAACTATTGTTCTGTGCTTCCACGATGGTCGGTTCTTTTTGCTTAGTGACCTGCCCATTGCCACCTCAACTTCTTCATTTGGGCAATGACACTGCCGGCTCTGGTTTGTTCTACAGCCTATTCATGTTTATTACGTATTTTTGTTATTCCCAACATGCGGCTCTCTATACGGCTCGCGTTGCCTGCGGTTTCTGAACAGTTTTCATGTTAAACATCTTTGCACTGGTCGAAGACCTCTTTTTGCTTCAAGTACAACGGTAGTTTCTCACATAGGGACGTTTTAAGTCTTTCAACTCTATGTCATTTTGCCTTTCTTTTTATGGGGTCGGTGCTTTCAAGGAAGCCTCTAAGAATGACTTAAATTTGACCCTCTTCAAATCTAAGACCATTGATTTCAGGGAGTTGTGGGGTTAAGAATTTGCAATAAATGATTTGAGTGGCTTTCAGGTTCATTCATTCGTGTCATCCCTGTATACTTTGGCGTACTTCTGCGAACCTTGCAATAATCGGCATATCGTCGGCAGCCCGTCAGTGGCACAAGTGAAATCCATCTATTTTCAGACAAATAATTTTAAAAATTATATATTGGGTCTCTCCTCCAAGACCACTGTGAATTATATGAGTGGTTCTGCTTCTTCCTGTTGGACATCTTTGTTGGAAACGTGCTTTGATGATTCTAGACACATGGTGGTGCAGAAACAAGGCAAGCAGTGGATACGAATAAAATGTACAGTTCGAGGAGGATTTCGTTTACATAGCAGAAAATAGGAACTTTCGAGTGTCAGACTGATTTCGACGCCTTAGCCCATATCTCAGAGGTCTTCTTCCAGGTAAGATAGATAGAAAATCGCCATTGGTAAGATTTTGTCTGCTTCAGCAGGTAGTCCTGTGGCAGGGAAAAGTAATGGTTTCATGACAATATTTTTAACCATGAAAAGATGTCTCGGAAAGTGATTAAAGGCCATAATGACAAGTTACAATTAAGCAGAGTGATGCTGAATCTTTTTATAAAATCAATATTACGCGAAATGAATATTTAGCATTTACTTGGATATTGAATCTAATGGATTACTGACCCAGTGATTGACAGCTCGAAAAGCAATAATAACCTTTATATATGGCTACTCCAATATTTCGACCGAATGAGTATTAGTCCTCATCAGGGAACGAATAAGTTTGTAAACAACCACCGGATGAGTTGGTGATTGACCAGTCTAGTAGAACGCTTGACGTTGCTAACTAAGCAATTTTTTAGGCTCCAGTCTGCGGCAATGTCAGTGGAGCCTACGCAACAACTAAATGTGCTGTATTTGCAGACTGTGATGTGAAACGTCTCGTAAATTAACAGCTTCATTTAAGAGATACATACAATAGGATGTCTAGTGCTAAATTGGATGATATCCGTGAATATCTAGTTGCAGTGTAGAAGCATGCCGTGAAGGATTTCTTCACCTGTTATCTACGGCACGAGACAGTTGATGACGATGACGATCATCTTTTTACCAAGTTATGTTTCTGGCCAACCGCTGTTCAGCCAGGGGATAATTGTGCACTTTTATAAAGCCGTCTCTGAGTCATTTTTCCTCCACCCACCTCATCAACTTGTCCTCAGCTTCAACTTTCAACAACTTATGCATGTGCGTGTTTTAGCTTCTTTTTAACCTCTGAGCATTGTTCTGTTCTTCCACTTAATGCAATTTAATTAAGTACTGTCATAACTGAGAAACGGCACTTAGTCAAGTACTCAGGTACTCTCGTTAATTGCGACGGAAAATGGATGATGATGAAAATTTTCGTTGCATATTGGATTACTCAACAGTGTGCAGATTCTCGGTAGACTGAGCTACGTCGTTTCAGAATATTATAATAAATGTTACGATATCGATAAGTGATAAGAATAATAAAACCATCGCTACTGCGAAGTACTGAACCATGTGACATGTCGCGACGTTCCTTGATATCTCAACGACAAATACTTTTGCTTGGACAAATGCTAGCTAAGCTGAAAAAATTGTTTACTCTTCATACCAAAGCAAAGTAAATAAGAAAAATAATCAATAAACATGAAGCGCTTACGCGAAGCTCGAAGAATCAGTTATCATTCCAATCATATAGTAAATTTAGTCACCTGCTGGATGGTTTCTAGTGATAGCTTGTGGCAGGGCGTCTATAACATGAAGCCCGGCGTTAATTTTCTTAGTCAATGCAGATGTCGATTGAAGTGGTTTTGTAAATACACCAAAAAATGGATCATCGCTAAGGAGCTTCTGAGGAGCCGGAAATGGTTGCGACGGCGACGAGTTTGTCGGTGCGAGACCTTGCCTTTGGTGACAATGGTGGTGGCATACTAAGAAGCTCCATGATCTGAATAATTGTCTTGTTTTTGGTCTCTGGAAACTTACGGTAAAAATATATTGCTAAGCTGAAGCTGGGAATGATGAAAACGAGATAGGCGAATTCGTAGATCACGCCGTTCAACGACAGGAACATCAGATTGACAACTATGAGGCCAGCTGCTGAGCTGATGACCGCCCATGACTGTGCGAGCGATCTAGCATTCTGAGGTACCATCTCCGCCATGACGTACCACTGCAACGGAGCCGGCCCGATGCCGAACACAAACGTGAACGACACGTCGATCACCACGCAAACGTACCCTGCCCACATCAGGGCGTAGCTTCTGCTAACGAATGAGAAGATCATGAACAACGTGTTGAGGATCGTCAGAGTGGCATAGCCGACGACCAGAAGTGGTCTGCGACCGAGTCTGTCGGTGATCAGCGACGAGATGCACGACGCCACCACGCTGTTGATGCTGATCGCTATGGTGGCGTATTGGGCGTTGTGCTCACTGAGGCCTGCCTCCTTGAGGACGACCGTCGAAAAGCTGGATATGGCCGAAATGCCACAGAAGGAGACGCCCGCCGCCGCCAGTAGGCCGAACGTGAAACCGTGCCTCAGGTACGGCTTAAGGAACAACTGTTTCGAACTGATCGGTCTCGACTCCATTTCGATCTCGGCCATGATGTCGTCTATGGTTTTGTCGACGTCGCC